GTTCACAGGAGACTGCGAATTCACGAATAAAATCAAACAAAGGCGCTCTCTAATTATTGTGGGAAAAAAAATGAAGCAAATCTTGAGCGTATGCACGAGAGAGATAGAGAAACAGAAACAGTTTGGTTTTTAATGATTTGGCAGGAAGGAAGACATGAGATCTGAGAGGTTCAAAAAACACTTGCCAAAAATCAAAAGCAAAAAATAATACCTGCATTTTAATACGGCAGTTGTTGGTTTTTAACAATTAGAGGTTCCCACTGCAAAGGACAAAGATCGCAAATACTCTTACGATTATTGCGGTCTCCGAGAGTGGTACTACCCAAAAAACTGGATATAACCCGAAAAGATCCAAACTGATGCATCTCGGAGTGAATCAGTGAGGAGAAAAAACCCCACAATTTCGATGCTAATTTAATATTTTTTTGCACTTATACTTAAATACTCGTTATAAATGCTATGTGCATATATTTATTTATGTCATGCAGTACTTAAAAGTGTGCGTGGTACAAGGGGGAAGCACTGGAGTGGTGTACCAGTGAACAGCAAATTGAGCGATTAATTTTAAATACTTATCACATAATAGACAGAAAAAATTGAATTTATCCCACATTGCGAATTACTATTGTTTTACAGTAATAATAATAAAAAGGCAATTATTTCACAGAGCAACTTTTCAAAAGATCAAAGCCGATGGAGATAATCTGCCATAGCCAAGATTTCCGCGTGACCTGGTATTTCTTCTGTTGGTTATATTCGCGCTCTCTATCAATGAAATGAAATTAAAAAATTTCATATATCATTTGATGAAAATTTAACAAACGCGTAAACAGCATTACAATTAATTTGATAAATTTTGATTTTAAACCCCTCGCGCGCTCAGGCTCCATTTGGCACTCATGCAAAATCCTAATCAGTGAAAAAAAAATGAAATAATCTATTACTTGTCATAGTTGAGCAGCAAAAATCGCAAAACAATATTTCAGAGAAGGAAAATTCACGAAATAAAAAAATTCCTCGGTTTCGCTTGACAAGGAAAAAAATTTTTGTCGCATGGCACTTTTTCATATCCTTCTTCCTCTTCCTCTTCGGCTAGCACCTCGTTCCCCTCCCTAATTCAATCTTATCGAAGGGGCAAAAAAAAAAAATTAAATCTCTGCACGTCAAAAATGCACCATTTCCCGTCGAGGGTGTGGAGTTGGGTTACGTGGTTTCTTTCGTTTCTTTACCTCCACTCCAGATAATTGATCAATATCCGGCGTCTTCATATTAACTGTTTCCGGGTTTTCTTCGTGAAATATTTGCAAAGCTTCCAGGCCTGCTCGTCTTGCAACTTCCTCATGCAACTGCTTCAGCGGAGTGTCCTGTGGGCAACCATCGCTGAAATTTTTTTAAAAATCCGCTAAAATTAAAAAAAAAAAAATTTAAAACCTGTTTTAGTTTACTAGATATGTTTTTAACAGACTTTAAAAATTCACAATGGATTTTATCGGCTTACTTAAATCCAGTTAACTTCAAAATCTTCTAGCGTCCAGTATCTCTCCCTTCCCTTCCTTCTCGCCTTTCCCCACCTCCTCCTCCCCCCCCCCCCCCCCCCCCCCCCCCCC